GCCTCTTTCTCGTGTGTCGTTCCGTGTTTCCAATGCTCATACAGCGCTGTACAGATGCTTAACGTCAACGAGGACTTGATCGTGGCGGCAGCCGAGAGCCAAGCGGAAGGAGACGTAGAAGGACTCGTAGCGTGAGTCGCCTAGCGAGATGGTGTAGCCGTAATGCACGGACACATACAGTATTGAACTTGATGTTTGCTGTTTTAGCTACCAGCACATTTTGCATCGAGACCTGATGGAGATGGCCGAGTTCATCGACTCCATATTTGGCGTCTATAGCAATCCTAACAGCAGCAACTCCAACACTCTCGCCCCATTCATGACGGTGCCGCTCCCCGTAGTAATATTTTTAGAATGGATAGATTATCTAATGCTGCTTGTGCAGGAGAAGAGCGATGAATCGAAACCAACAGCTGTGGTGGACTTGGCTGCTGAAGCAGCTCATGGACAAGAGGACGCTCCTACTGCAGAGAAAAATATTGCGAACAAGAAGACAAAGGCGAAGAAGAAAGCGGAACGTGGTACATTGCTTACAGCTATCGAGGCGGGCGAGAAGATTCGCGAAATCCAACGATCGAAGGAGCAATGGATCAAGTCCCGGCATCAAGTGCTGGAAGAGGAAGGCGTCAGTGCAATCATGAGCGAGAACGCAAACAGCATGTTGGAAGTCACAAGTGCACAGTCAGAAGCACAACAAGTAGGGAGTGGAGGTTTAGCGCTGGCGAATCAGTTGCGTGCGCACCAGCATATTGCTGCGTTCTTGCAAGCCTCGCAAGGTGGCTCTGCACCAGGATCTGTTCCTCCAACGGCGCCTATGAACTTACTGCTTGCAGCCCAGTTAGCAATGCCTTCAACCACATCACCTTTAGCAGTACCGATTCCAACTTCGCACGTATCGCCTATTTCGATGGCTACTTTTACGCCGATTAAGCCAGCCACAGTCGGGAACAACGTCTCCAAGATTGCTCTACCTCCAGCTCACTCCATGTTCAACATGCTCTTAGCGTTTCCTGGAGTTCCGCCACTGATGTTTAATCCTCAAGCTATCGGAGGGCAGATGCCAATGGCGCAGTGGCAGCCACAGTTGCGGACTGATTTACCAGCTCGTAGTGTAGTACCCGTTCGTCGTCCAGGTGAGATGTTTTGTTCGTATCTTGCTCTTGTGTTGCAGCTCACACATCGACTAAATAATTCCGCATGTGCCTTCCTGTGCAGCTAAAACGCCAGAGTTTCAACGAATGTGTGAATCGTGTCGTAAGCGGCATTTTAGTGTAAGGCAATGCCGTCTCGTGCTTCAACACAGAGATCCTGAATGGCAACCGGCACAACCGGCAGCAGCAGTTAGACGGCGGAGGCGTAAGCAACCCGCTGCGAATATTACAACGTACTAGTAGACCAAACAACATCCAACCCCTCAAGAATCTTGAGACCCCGTAAAACAAACTGATGCTAGTTAACATTTTTGAGTTTTTGCTGACCATTCGGACTTAGATATTTTGTCAAATCTCTTACCGTATTCCTTACGTGCTTGCTGACATAGAGCTGTTATTTAGTTTTATATTTAACTAGGGTTAAATACGTATTTAACGAATGAGAGTTAAATACCGTTAAATACTCGTCTGTTGGACAACACCAAGCTGTCTACTTCTGTAATTATTGCTTCCTGATTGACAACTGGAAGATGGACCACGCCTCTGGCAGTCACTTCAACTAGATCAGACTTGGGCGAAGCAGCTTGGAGCTTTGTTGTGCGGCCCGCACAACTTGTGCGCGCTTGTGTGGTGTAGCGGGATCAGCAAAATCTGCGAGATTGCCAGATCCAACTTACCAACTGCGCCCAGACACCGACTAACGGAGGGGGTCCCCCGATGATCCGTGTTCTGCTGAACTTTCCTCACCTTGTGTACCCGTCGGTAGGGCGGGATCTGCTCTCTCGGTAACTTCCGAAGAGTTCAAGTGGTGAAGCTTGAGTGTCTTGGCGAGACGTGGGGATGGGGTGGAGCAGCAGTGGAAAATCTTCACTCTGCGTCCGTGGATGGTTCCGTATCCTAAGCGAATATTCGAGCTTATGGATCCGGGGCCTAGATCGTGGATCTGGCCGTGGGGTTGCCTTGCGGGTGTGTTCCCTTGCCTTTGTGTTGTCCTTTAAGTCGTACTTGCCGCCTCCTGTGACGGGATCTTGAGAGTTGAGAGCCCCTAGGGTGTAACCGACCAAGTAGTAAATTCGGTTAACCTGTCGGATCTGCACAAGTAAAGGAAAAGCTCACTAGGTTGTAGGATCTGGCCAATGTATTATCCAGTTATCACTACCAACACTAGATTCGCAATTCCCAACCTTCTCGGAGCTCGTACGGCCAATGTAGTTCCGGTTCTTGAGGGCAGGAAGGCACTTGCGTGTCACTGTGCAAATTGGAGTCTGTATTGATATTTAAGCCTATACCTGCCTGGGTTTCTACCTTCTATGTCTTTCATCTGCTAAATCCCTTACCAGGCTCGGCTGCATGTCCCTTCTTCCCTTGACCCATCATCCCAGCTGTGTTATCTTCAGATCCACCGGATATATGACGTAATCATCATGGTCACCCTATTATGGGTACACTCATCCGGATCCAGGTCGCTTGGATCCACCTCACTGTAATGGTACA